CTTAAATTTGAAAATAAAAACTTCTAAGTTTCTTAAATTTTTTTAAAAAATAATCATTTTAGTTTCTTTAATTTAGTTTTTAGTCATTTAAATTTTTTTTTAAAATTACTTTAATTTCTCAAATTAAATACTTAATAATTTAAATTATTTTTCAAATATTTAAAAAATTAAACTGATTTTCAAGTTTTGAAAGAAAAAAATCAAATTCATTACGAATTTCATAGCTAAAGTTAGCTAACTCAGTGATTACATTTGATATTTATTTGTGTGTAATTTTTATATTAGTAAATATATGTTATATTAAAAAGATATTTAGAAGTTGATGAGGAATAAAATAGCAATACTTTTAAATTTGTACTTAAATTTATAAATTTTAGATAGAGTCATGTGAAAATTTATTTATAAGATTAGATAATTAATATATAAATATATATATATATATATATATATATATATATATATATATATATATATATATATAATGTGAAGATTTGGTTTTGTAAAACTACAAATGATATAGCATGTGAACGAGTGTGAGTAAATTTTCTAAATATATAAATGATAAAATATGCAAAAATATGTAAAGTATATTCGTTATAAATACAAATTAGTATATTAATATATAAATTTAATGTATATCGTTAAACTTGTCTAATTAATGTATTAACAAATTCATTTAATATTTAATGCTAGATTCATCTAATCAGTATAAGGACATGTTCACTTAATGTGTATTGCTATACTCATATAATGTGTATGGACAAACTTATTTAATGTGTATTGTAAAATGCTCTCAAATCAAAAAACAGATAAAGTTGTTTAATTTGTATTAATAGACTTTTATAATATCTTTATAAACAAACTTATCTAATATAATTGCTAGACTCATTTAATAAGTATATACATAAACTCATCTAATGTGTATTGTAAAACTTGTTTAATTAATATATGAACAAAATCACCTAATAGATATTTTTAGACTCGTGCAATCAATGTATGAAATAATTTATTTAACATTTTATTTCTATATTGGTCTAATCAGTGCATAGTTAGACTCGTTTAATGTCTATTAGTAAACTCATTTAATTATTGTATAATATATAAGATTCATCTAATCATACTCGTATGATGTATATTAATAGACTTGTCTAATATATGTATAAAATATGAGTTTTATATACGTTTTGTATAAATTAAGTTAAAATAAAATGTTGGTGATTATTTTCAATTAATTAACTAATAATTTAAATTGATGATAAATTATTTTAAATTAAGATCTAGTTATCTAGAAGGGGAAAAAAACACAATTCAAAAGAAAAATTATTCCAATAATTTAACATAGATTGACGTGATTTTCACCTTTATTATTTTCCCTTACTTAAATACCTAAAACATATTAATCTTCCATATCTGGCTATTCAAATCCATACAAATCAGATAATCTAAGCAAACTTTGACAAACTCCATTTCTGTTTTTCGCCAGTATCATACAAACGTAACATTTAGTGATATAATATTGTATCCAACTCTGAAAAGAAGAAAAACATGACAAGCTCATATTTCAAACAAATCTACACAGAAATTAATAATAATTTTTTTTAAAACATTTTCTTCTTTACAGCCAAGAAAGAAAGACAAAAACAAAAGTTGCATGTTACAAAATGTAATTAATTCTCACAAAATATATAATCAAATGTGTGTAAGTTATATATTTGAAAACAATTAATTATATTTAAATAAATATAATAAAATATTTATTTTAAAATAATGATATAATAAATAATTTAAATTTAATATCTTATAAAATAACTTATTTTAAGGTTTGATAACTAATTTTATAAGAAAAAATTGATTAATTAAATTTTAAAAGAATTTATCATATATTTTAAAATTTATATGTAATATATAATAATTAAATTTAGCTTTAACTTTAATTTACATTTTCACAATTTTACATTTTCACAATTTTACATTTTACATTAAATTATTTTATAAATTATTTTCTAACTACGTTAATATACAACTAAAATTATTAAGACACAGTTAAATCTATTACAAATTTTCCTCTCATTTTTTTTTCTCTTGTTTTTACTCCAAAGAAATTCACTTTTCACCTTCTTTCTTTCATTTTCAGAGTCAAACTTTATTTTCAGAAGACGACTTTATAAAACTTTGCTTAATTGGTGTTGAATTGAGTGAGAAAGAAAAGGATTGAAGTTGTGACTAAGCATGTACTGCAACCCAAATGAGACCACCAATTACAAGAATTAACCAAAGAGTTAACGATCCGTGAAATGAAGCAGCGTATGAAATATAACACGTGTAAGCTTTTTCTGGACTCTTCAAAATAAGTTAAAAAGTAATCTTTACTTCTAAAGGGACGTTTCAAGGAAAGAAATAGACAAGGTGCTGGCAGTGTGCAGAGCGCCCACTGTTGTGCTCCTTTTACTCCTTCACTTCTTTCCTACCCTTTAATGCTGTTCACTTCAAACTTAAAATTTGTATTTGTAATTAATCATTTCTTAATAAAACCATTTTTAATTTCTTTATATTATTGTATTAACAATATTGTAAATTACACATTGCTATGATATGCAAGCTCATGCACCATCTTGCAAATCAAATAATTTTTCAAAAAGCCTTGTATGTGCATCTCTTTCAAAATAGATTATTTTATGGACATGTAAATGAACTAAAAAATGTATTACAAGTGTGTAGTGTGTAGTTCTTTTATAATTATGAATTTTATTATAAAAGAGAACATAGGAAAATTGGTTATGTTTCATCTATGTATTATTAAACATAAATTACCATCACTCTAGTTTTTTTTCAAAAGAAATTAATTTCACACCCCATTAAGTTTACCAAATATGAGAAATACCAATGACATGATTGAAGAAAAAGAAAAACAAAGAAAGTAATAAATAAGATGAATCATGTAGTAACAAATTTAGAAAAGAACAAATATACTAAGTTAGATAAATAAATGCATTAAATATGGTGAAAATTAAAAGAAAATTCTCACTACAAGGAAGTGTATGCACTCTTTGTAAAATAAAAAATACAAAAACAATAAATATAATGAATAGAAAATTAAAAATAAACAGAAAATCTGAAACTTAAAAACATAAACTATTGGTTTTGAGACTATTTACCAAAGATTTAGCTTGATTCCTTAAATTTAACAGTTTATGCCTCAAATTTATTCCTATGTATGCTACAGGTTGAGTTGCTCAAGGTGCTTTTAAGTTTTAATTATAGATAATTAAGGTGGATAAATTAATTTTGAAAAGTATTTAAAGTGATTAAGAATGATATTTTTGGTCCACAAAAGTATATGTGGCTCAAAATTTGCCAATTATATTCAAACAAAAAGGTTCAAAATCAAGGTATAAGTAACTTAAATGAGAAAGTAAGGACACCTATGACGACCAAAAAGTTTGTTGTTAGACATATGTCTTGGAGTGAGATGAAAATGTTTTTTTCTTTTTCCTTTTTCTTTAATTGAGTCCTGAGAAAGAAAGCTGCAGTTACTAATTATACAACAAGATATGTTTAATAATTTGGAACTTGGAATCACTTATAATGTATTTGTTTTCTTTTAAAAAACGCATGTTTTGATTGTTTTTTACGTTATAATTCATAAAAAAACAGATGTAAAAACATGTTGTATTAGATTTAGTTACACATTAATTATAATTATTAAAAAGACAAAAGAAATTATGTTGTATTAGATTGGGTTATACAGACAGCTTTTTTTTACCTGCCATCTAAACACGCGTTTTTTTATTTCATTTTATTCCACTTTTGAATAGTTTAATTTTGATCTAAAGTTTTTTTACATTGAAAAGAAAAATCATATGACAAGTTCAAATTATATATTAGTCATTATGAAAATAAAAAATTACAATTCGTACCAACATATTTACACTAACATAGAAATGTATTCAGATCATAAGTGAATACACTATTTATCATTAGCCATAAAAGAATGTTGCCTTGAGAAATAGGACTTAATTTCTTTGACGTATAAAAATGATTAAAAGGAATAGTTTTTTCCAAGTATTTATTAAATGGTAGCTCTGGAATAATTTTTTTTTCCAAGTATTTATTAAATTGTGTCGTTAATTGAAGTCTTTAATATGGTGATTAAAAGAATCAATAAATGTTATATTTTATTAAAGGATTACTTTGGAAATCACGATATAAGTGTATTGTTATAATCTCAATTAGTAAAATTATTTTTTCTTACATCCTAATTAATGTTGTGGCTCTTAAAACAGGTGCTAACACATGTTGATTAAGCTTATGAGGTTGTGGTTTTACTTGTGACTTGAATGTTTAGTTGACCACAATTATTAGTGTTTGTTAAGTGATAGTTTTACAGCAAATTTTCCCATTAAAAGAGCAGAAAAAGAGAAGGAGAGTAGTGAAAGAAAATGAGTGGTATGGAAAAGAAAGAAAAAAAGTGGTAATATAAAAACTGTGGGAGGAAGTAAGTATTATGTTGAGATTATTGAACAAATTCCAATATGATTAAAATGAAGAGCAGCTAAAATTGTGGCTAATTTTTGTTTATAGTAGAAGTGGTGGATCTAATTTTACACTGCCAAAACAGTTTGCATCATCTGCCTACGTTTCTCTCGTTTACTTTCTCTCTCTAAATCTTGTCTGTTTCTCTCTCCTCAATATACACGATATCCTCTTTCCAGTGAGATCTGTCTCCTCCCTTGCATATACATTTGTCTAAACCTATGCCTTTCTCCATTTCCTGATACCTTTAAAAGCCCACTTCACCCACCTCATTCACTCACATACCAATTCTCAATCACTCTCTTTGATGAGGATCACAAGCCCCCATCAACATTCAAGCCCCTCTTCTTCTTCCACCCTGCATGAAATCATTCAATTGAAACTCAAGCTCATCTAACCTTTCCCACCCCCCACAGCTCTCTCTTTCTCTCTCTCTCTCTCTCTCTCTCTCTCTCTCTCTCTCTTTCTCTTTCTCTCTCTCTCTACATATATATATACATATATACCTGCATACCTATCCTTCTTTTTTCTCTCTCTTCCTTCAATGGTACCACCAGAAGGCATGCCACCAACACCGAAAGACCATGAGCTCACTGAGGGCCGCAAAACGACGAGGCCGCCACCGGAACAAGGTGTGAAGTGCCCGAGATGTGACTCACCAAACACCAAGTTCTGCTACTACAACAACTACAGCCTCACACAGCCCAGGCACTTCTGCAAGACCTGCAGGAGGTACTGGACCAACGGGGGTGCCTTGCGCAACGTCCCGATAGGAGGGGGTTGCAGGAAGAACAAAAAGGTGAAACCTTCTTCCTCCGCTTCCTCTTCCTCCTCCTCCAGACTCTCCTGTGACCCTAAAGACTTCAATTTTCATGGTCTCTCAGTTCCTCCTTCCGTTGACTTCAACCTCGGAGGGATACCCTTTCCCTCCAGGCTCACTACTTTCAACACTCAACACCACCTCCCAACACCCCCCACTGGGGTGTTCAACCAGTTCTCTTCTTTTGGGGACGTTCCATCATCTTCCACCAGTTCTCTTTCTGCTTTGTCTGCCTTCCAGCTTGACCCCCCTGCTGCTGTTTCAAACCCTCTCTTGGGTCTCGTTCCGCCCAACCCTGACCTCTGGGCTCTACGTAGGTCAGAAAGGGCCTCACTCTCTGATCCATTGAACAGTGCAATGCAAACCCTTCAGACCATGGAAGCCATGAACGTTCACAGCAACCTTGCTTCTTCAATTGAGTCGCTGAGCAACATCAACCAGGACTTGCACCTGAAGCTGCAGCAGCAGCGCATGGCGACAATGATGTTCGGTGGGGACAGCCAGAAAGGTGAGAGCAGCGCTGCCCTGAATGGGTTTGGGAATCAGAAGCTGCTACAACCGGTTTCGTTTCAGAACCTTGCGATTTCGAAGCCAGAGAACTTGCCAGCTGGCAGTTCCATAAATGGTGGTCCATGTGGGGAGACAGTTACTGCAGCATCCACTGAATGGTTCTTTGGGAATTCCTTTCCCTCAGTGTCTCCTTCAACAAGCAATGGCGGTGCCAATGTTAACCACATTAGCAACGATGCAAACAACAACAACAGCTGGACTGGTTCCCTTGCCTGGGGAGATTTGCAGCAGCAACCATACACCGCTTTGCCCTAGATTTGACCAAGGAGGACTTAGAGTTGGAGGTAGAACTGCCTTTTTTCAATCTTGAAAGGAGAAGGAAGAAGCTATGATTAGTAGATAGGACAAATCTATAATTGTCTAAAATCCCTTAGTTGCATGTTTTAATTTCTTAATTAGGTAGTTTTCTTTATGTTTCCTTCAAATCATCATATCATATCATATCATATATCATATATGTAACAGAAAGGATAGTTAAATTTAAGAACTGTAAGAACATAACTATGTGTTCATATATACTCATATCAATTGAAATAGTTGTTGTTCAAAATAAATGTCTCAGTTTTTACTCAATATATTGAATATTAGATATATCTCGCTCGTTAATTTTGCCGATTTATACGCGTCGTGACAGTCTCTACATTTATCAAGCAATGGCCGATTCTCTTGCTTATTACATACACTTCAAGTACACCTTCAACAGAAGATTTAGAAATTGAGCTGTCATTATAATTTGTTTCTTGATAATCGAGAATGTGCTCACAAAAAAATTAATTGTTTCTAGAGGAATTAAATTGAAGTCTGGTATTGATCAATTTGATGAACTGTAGTTTTGTCTTTACATAGCATTTTTCTCAGGAGGTCGGTGATAAGATTACCGTTTCCCTCGATATTTTTTGTGGGATACGTGAAGGGTTTTTGGACTGTTGTTGATTAATATCGGGGAACTTTAATGCTATGATACTACCTTTGATTTTCTGTTTTTTCACGTATTTGGTTAATAAAAAAGAACCAACTCATAACCACTGTGGCCATTATCAGAGAGCTGAGTCTCAGGTTCCTTCAGTTACTGATCAATGCAAAATACACAATAAAACACAACATTGTGGCAGTGACTGGCATATAGCCTTTGCGATAGTAAATTAGTCTGCAATATCAAGGCCCTGTTTGTAGCCTGCACTCTCTCTCTCTCTAAATATACACATACATTAATTTTCCTCTATATTTCTATGTTACTCGGTTCTTTTGCAATAATTAGTTACAGTGTGGTGTGATTTGGTGTCTGAAAAAGGGTTGTTTGAAAGTATGTTAATGAAACACTGTCAACGTTTGAATGAGCTAGAGAGAGAAAAATGTGGCATCTAAAGCTTAGGTTTTTTTTTTGTTTATTAGCTTTATGATTTTTGGAGAGTGAGCCCTCAAATCCGTGCTAAATGCCACTGAGCATCAACTCTCATTGCAATTCTGCATCATGTCATAGAATGGGAAAGAGAAAGCAAAGCAAAGTAGGAATTGAAGAATTGCTTTTCCTTGCTTCCGGTCTCATCTTTATTTCTTACTTTCACTATTTGAGCGGAAAAAACAGACCCCACTAATGCTTAAAAGACTAGATTGACGTTGTTTTTTTATCCCTTCATATATCATATAATCTCGTATATGTTGTGCCACCATGCAAATAAAACACTTTCCAAACTGTTTTATAACCTTATTTAGTTAAAATTGTCTCACAAAGTTATGTAATACATTTATGTTTCCACATATAAAGAAAATGAGTCTTTCCTTTCCGTTCTAAACACGGTCAGAGATTAACTTCCATCTTCTGATTAATCTTTTGGGCTAGTCTCTATTGATATATTCTTGGTATGTTCTTAACGTCATGATTTGTAGATTGTGTCCTCATTTTACCAATTTTAAAATAAATAAAAAGGCAACTATAACACGAGTAGCATTAATCAATCATCATGGTTAGACAAGTTAATATATATATATATATA